TTTTCTGTCTAAGGCATATTTCCAAAAACTGGGTTTTGGACTTATTTTCGTCATGTAATTGCACCAATCTGACTTCCACAGATGTGGTCTAATATTCGAATTAGCCAGACCGTATTTATTGTACCGACACCAAGCGTCTGTAAAAGTTTGGACATGCTATTGCTTTCCAGTTTCATTAAAAGTTTAGAAACTATTGGCATTTGAAAAAAAAAAAAAAAACCCAGAAATTCACACATTAAAATTATCAAATAAGTGATGTAATAGTTTGAGAAGTTGAGAGGTTTGAAAAGTTTAATACAGTTACGAATCTACTTTGAGTTTCTACCGCTAGTAATCCTGCTACTTAACTGGTCGTCCTTTATGCATGTTATGTTATATGTTAGATGTTGTCACCGCGCCTATCACCAAGCTCAACACCGAGCATCACCGAGCCTGTCATCACCTCCGTCACCGTCATTGACATTTCAATTATTCTTTTGAACAATGTGTCAAACTATTCGTTCTTTTCTTTATAAAAAACAGTTGCTTAAATTTTCTCCTTGTTTAGCAACATAAAAATCCTAGTATTTTCTTAAAATTATTTCTTTTTTTTTTGCGTTTTTTTTTTTTTTTTTTCCTACCTAATCTGATAGCCCTAGCGGCTATTTCAGCGTAACCCTAACTTTAGTAGGTGAGCTCACGGGGCTCAAACCTGACGATGTTGCTAACACGAACCCTAGCAAGAGTCGTGCTTCGCAGAATCTACCACCGGATCGGAAACGCGACCCACTGAGAAGATCCGGCGAGAAACTCAGTGGGCTGTGTCTGAGAGTTAATTTACTCGTCGAGCCCTTCGTCGCAAGCGACGGGTTCGACGAGAACGGTGACCGGTGCTTGAAGTACCTAAAAGCACCGTTAGTGGATCGGGAGGATCCGAGATGACGTGTTTTGGGCGACGTCGACTGCTTTCCATTCTGTCCGCAGGATCGGGAATGTAGTTACCGGCGGCCACGATGAGAGGGTTCTCGTGTCGTGCCGCTTTATCGAAGTGGCGCATGGACGCCGACTGCAGATACTTACTGATGGACTCTAAGTCCAGGTCGTCATGGAGGTCGACATTCCTGACGAACCACGGGGCTCCGACGGCTATCCTGCAAAAACGGGATTGAATGATTTGAAAGGATTTTAAGTGTATGCGGGCCGCGTGAGCGAACACTACACTTGCATAGGTCATGACGGGGCGTATGCAAGTTTTGTAGAGTGTCACCTTATTTCTAAGGGACATTTTACTTCGCCTACATATCATCGGGTAGATAAAATTATTTCACTGACAGGTTTGTATTTATGCTTTAGGCCACGATGACTTCATTTCTACGATTTAATGTTAAAGCTGTATTACTCTAAACTAACTAAACTTGTAGGTAACGCAGTAAAATATCTCTTCCTATTCGAACTGGATAAATACAAAAGTCGAATGCCTTAACTAATAACAAGCTTGTACTAATAGCTCCTACATAAATAACGCCGAGCAAAGCAATTATAACTCTAGCTTGTAATTTTAGGTCGAGAATTAAGATCAAACTACGCCAGTTAAGTAATTTGAAGGAATATTTTTCCTTTAATGTTTCGTATACGGTTTTAAGTGTCTAACTTTAGTTAAGGAATTAATTTAAAAAAAGGTGTTATGATTCCCACAGATTGTGTTTGTTCATGTTCATAGGTGCGCAACAGTGTTAAGCTTCAGTGTGCTATATATATATTTTTAATATTAAATAGGTAGATTAGTTCAGGTCCGCTTTTGATATGATGCAGACACTGATTTTTTGATTTTATGATAAAAATATTGTGTTTCTCTGAAGAATGAAATCTAAAACTAAAATCATCGACATAGTTCAGAGAGTTGGCAAGCTCAACCGGCAGTGGGTTGGACATATGCCGTGAAACCGACGATCGCTTGAGCAGACGAGTTCCTGGATGAAGTCCCCGCTATGGCAAGCGTGGGATAACCCCGGCTAGGTGGTGCGACGGTCTTTGAAGAGTAGCCGGCAGAAGGTGGATGAGTCTCGAGCCGAAGACCGGGCTCAGTGGTGTGGATTGGAAGAGGTATATGTCCAGCAGTGGGCGAGTGTGGGCTGATGATGATGAGATACTGAGACATATTTTTTTTATTGCTTTGATAGGTGGACGAGCTCACAGCCCACCTGGTGTTCAGTGGTTCCTGGAGCCCATAGACATCTACAACCGTAAATGCGCCATCCACCTTGAGATATAAGTTCTAAGGTCTCAGTACAGTTAAAACGGCTGCCCCACCCTTCAAACCGAAATGCATTACTGCTTCACGGCAGAAATAGGCAGAGCGGTGTTCGAATCCCACTGGCAAGTACCAATTTTTCTAATGAAATACATACTTAACAAATGTTCACGATTGACTTCAACGGTGAAGGAATAACGTCGTGTAATAAAAATCAAACCCGCAAAATTATAATTTGCGTAATTACTGGTGGTAAGACGTGTTGTGAGTCCACACAGGTAGGTACCACCGCACTGCCTATTTTTGCCGTGAAGCAGTAATGTGTTTCGGTTTGAAGGATGAGGCAGCCGTTGTAGTATACTGAGATCTTAGAACTCATATCTCAAGGCAGGTGGCGGCGTTTATGTTGTATATGTCTATGGGCTTCGGTAACTACTTAAAATTAGGTGCCGGGTATCAACGGCCTTGATCTCGTCCATCCTCAATGCAATAAAAAATAAATAAATAAAAGACTACAATGTAAATCTTTGTCTGCCTTAGGATCTAGCGACTGACTGTAGCTTGTTGATATTAATTGATTGACGTTCATGGATCATGGTGATCAACCACCCCGAAACAAGAGGGTTTTACGCTGGTCTGTGGCCAAAAAAAGCTTAAGTTAAATGCCTAAATACCGATTGTATGTAATCTTTGAGTCACGACAGGAACATAAGGATGCGTCTACAATGAAAAATAACACAATTTTGAAACTCGTTTATTCATTGTGTGCACAATTAACAAGTAGCTCTGAAGTCATTTTTTACATCTTACATCTATTTATAGATTCAGTTTCAATACATTAGAAGGTTACACCGATATAATTTAACTATGAAATACACATTTATCGATACGCGGTATACAATTTTATATGAACTATTAAAAAAAAATACATCCGAACATTGCTCTTACTAAAATAACTTTCACATAAAATATACACGATTGCAAGATGTTGTTAAAGCTGGTATTTAAACAACTTTACATCTACACATGCCTTTCTTGATAACTTAATAAAGTTTTTTTTTATCGCAAAAGACGAATGAAATGCTTTATTATGAGTTCGACCAGCAATCTAGCTATACGAACGATTTTAACTTCATTTTACATTTTGTATTTACAAGACAAGTTAATAATTTCGAGTTATCATAATTATACAATAGGTATTTATAATAAGCGGAATCTTGTATTTTTTGTGGTCTAATGAAAAAGTATGAACTAGGACTTGCACAGAATGAAGATATTCAGTGTTTTTGTTACTGTACCATATTCGGTCAGACTTTAGGGCGTCAATACTACAATCGAATATAAATACATTCTTACAATAAATATCTATATATTTATACATTTAAAGATATAAATGCTAATTAGATTTTATTTACAGAATCAAGAAAACCTTTATCTATACGTAGACAGTACGTAAACACCACTTAAATCTACTTTTAACCTGGAAGCACACAGAATAGATAGATACATCCATAATGTACAATAAGCCTTACTGACAGAAGCTATTCATTGATAGTGAACAGGGAGATTTTTAGTCTAGAAGCGAGAGGTAAATTGATTTTTTTTGCATGGTTTTTATTTGCATAATATGTTTCCATTGCAATTCACTTTTCACACAATCACCATTCGTTTATGACCTCATTATTTCCTTTTCTAATTAGGCGTCGGATTTCGCGGGAAATAATTTTAAAAATTACAGATAGCCAGAGCCGCAATCAATTTGGAATCGAGTTTCAATTCAGTCCATCTTTAGTTCCATTCTGTTATAATGAAGAATTTAAAAACTATGCATTGATAAGTATAACTTTGTTTGAGTTTCTGAAATCAAGTTAAGATATCACTACTTTTACGGCTTAGTACCGCGTTGAATATTTTCATTTTATTATTTTTTATATTATTTATTTTATTTCCGGCGTTTCAATTAGTTTTTAGTTTTAGGTGGCTTACGACTTGTGAAAATTGAAAGCAATGTTAATCGTTAACTAACCATGCCACGCTTCGTTCACTGCTAACAAAATGAAATTCATTCCTTTATTGAAAGGTCACGTGCACTACTGTCTAAGATGTTTAAGTTACTATGTCACAAGTTGTTTGTAAATACAATTTTAAAAGCTGTACAAAGTTTCAACGCAATCAATTGAAGGAGGATAAATAAAAATATTGTCATAATATGTAATAAAAAATACTGTAGCTCTCGTAGCAATACGAATAATATTTAAAATAAAAAAAAAATCTAATATTTCAAACAAAACAAAAAAAGACATGCCCGCTGAGTTTCTTGACAATTCTTCTCAGGACGGAGGCTAATTCTTGTGAATTGACGGTAGTTCTTTTGACGTTCAACAAGTATGTACTTTCATTTATGTTGAATAAAACTTTTTTGATTTGATTTGAATGTTTATATTAGCTTAAAGGGAAAATGAATAGCTTTTGCTTGTAAGGCTAACCTTGATAATCATTTTAATATGCTTAATATACATATTATGTTATCAAAATGTTATTTTATTCATAATGTATTATTAAAAACAAGTATCGTATGATTTAACATTTTTAATTTATTACGTACGATCTACTGAGTTATTTTTTGCTAAACATATAATTACTACTTTGATAAAATTACAAAGAAAACTTTAACAAAATAAAATACAGAAAATACATTTGAGAAATTAAATTTAATTTGAAGCCATAAATCAGTAAAATGTATTATTGTAAAAAACCAAAGAGAGAAATGCATAGAGAAATTATAAAAATATACATATTGTAAATCAAAGATACATTTTTTAATAAATAATTAAAACAATCTATTATGGAAATTCATAATAGTAGATATGAAATGACAACATTCTACACAATGATATACAAGCAAATATATAGTTCTATGCTCGAAATACGCAATATCTAAAATACCTTTTTTGGATGATGACAACAAACAAGGAAGCGATACACGAAGCTTACGATTTTATCGTTCTCAACACTACTGGAGCCGAAATCAGAGTTTATTTATATGCCCCCCAAACAACTGCATGGTCGTGATATCATGTACATTTATCATTTATTTTAATGACATAAAATTACTTGGGTCGAACGAGAGAACAATTCTCAAGCATTCACCAAATTCTTTCGACAACGGAATTTTCGAGAAATGCCACAAAAATAAACTGGCTGATACGTAGTTGGACGCGGCGAGTTTTTTTGTGTATTCTTTATTTAAAAAAAAAAAAAGATTGTTGGCTGTGACGAATTTGATTATTCTGAATTATCTGTCTGCAGCACATTACAGTTTCACCGACGGATTCCACAAGTCAATTATTGTCGTTCAATGCTGATTCCTCGACGTGTTAGGCTGGTCCTCTGCTTTCTACATTCTGGGGATATGTTTTGATATCTACTCAACACTATACACATATAATACAAGTTAGGTCACGCTCGTTTTGTTCACGTGATCTGCGTACACGATCCCTCGTAGCATTTCAGCCCTGGTTCGCAGGTCCCACTGAAACCTCCACAATTCTCCCCTAACGTTCTTGCGCATACTTTACAGCATCTGTAATTAAAATTTAAATTGTACTGTCTGGTCTAATCTTAAATTTAAAGGAGATGTTGAATTTTTTGTTTGAAATGTTTACTGAAACGCATAAGAAGACTGGGCACTACGATTATGAACACTTCAAACTATTTTAAACGCGAAAATAAAGAATATTCATTTTTTTCCATGACTCGCCAAAGTCTTAAAAGAGCTAAATGAAACTAACCGCTTTTTTTCAACATTTTCCCGTGACTAGTTTGTAGTGGTACTTTCCGCATCTTATTTTCTAACAAAACTTTTCAGTTGCTATATACTACTTTCCCAATTCAAAACGTACCATTGCTAAGAGCTAGTGATTACCTAAATGATGTAAATTTGATAGCCAAATCAAATCACAACATGGGTATCGACTTTATAAGTGGCCCGCAAGAACATTCCATACAAAAACTTTTTATTTTGCACGTCACGAAATTCATCTACTACACTACAAAAATATACCTGGGTATCTGTTATTAAAACGCTAACTGATAACTTTAATCGTGCTCTCATCGAAATAGAAACAATTAAGAAAAAAAGTGTGAGTTTGAAAAACAAGTATAGAAAAGCTTTCGAAGAATCTGGGAATGTTAAGTCGTATCTTTGTATCAGAAAATACAGAGTAGAGCTTTGTGGTATTTCCTCCTCATACGTAGAGGCTTTTACATTTGTTCTTGAAATGCTTCGTTGTTTTCCGACAATGTGTATGAATATAAATAATTTCTTTCGTTTTCTAAAATTTGTTAGTGAAATGTAGCAAATCCCAAAATCCCAACACAATGATGGATTATGTTGGAATTTTGATCTAGAATTAATTAAATTTTTATTAAAATATATTTTTGGAAGTTTAGAATAATGCCAAAACGAAAATGCAATTTTTTAATATTATTGACTGTATAAAAATATAATTTAGTTGAAATTGCGATATTTGATAAATCTACTTGAAAAATAATAAATATGTATTAAATAAATACTGGAAACATGGTATTTGGTTATTTTTTTTGTATATAATCAAGCGAAAGCCGAACATTTGAACTTCAGTAATTGCATTAATCCTTGGTCGAGTTCCTTATTTTGAAGTTCACGGATGAACTTGTGTTAAGTGGATCGGTCCTTTGCCATGAGTGCCTAAGGAAGTTTTACGCGTAAACGCTCACCGTAATTACCTGAATATTGAGATTACGGCTCATCAGCTGAATTGTTATGGATTTCGGGAGGATCGAAACTTTGCCGAGATCTGGATATTTATGTAGCGTTTTATTTAAAAACAGTGCCTTTTTATATGTACATACTGTTTATACAAGCGAATGGAAGTTAACAAGTCATCACGGATCATCCCGATCTATTAACGGTGCTTACACACAAGCACCGTCCTCGTCGAACCCGTCGCTTGTGACGAAGGGCTCGACGAGTGAATTAACCCACAGACACAGCCCACTGAGTTTCTCGCCGGATCTTCTCAGTGGGTCGCGTTTCCGATCCGGTGGTAGATTCTGCGAAGCACTGCTCTTGCTGAGGCCAGTGTTAGCAACATACCCGGTTTGTGCCCCGTGACCTCACCTACACGTCAAGGAGAAGCTGAAATAGCCTCTCAAGGCTATCAGCATAGATAGAAAAAAAAAAAGAATGGATACAGTATCTACTACTTAATTCTGCTGCGAAACAGTCATTCGTTCGTTCTGGTTTGAAAAATGGGAAACCGCTAATGTGTTTGTAATTGGAATTTCAAACTTATATTATGAGCTACTAATGATAAGTAGTCACTAGAGTTCATAGATCATAACATGACCATTGAAGGAGGGAGGCATGCCTTTAAATGGTAGTACGGCGTGTTATGAGCCCGTATGGCTTAATGCCACCACCCTGTCTATTTCTGTGGCGAAGTAGTGATGCGCTCCGACTTGAAGGGTGTGTGAGCCGTTGTACTGTAAAAACTGAAACTTAGGTCTCATGTTTCAAGGTGGGCGACGGCATGTAAGTTGCTGATGTCTATGGGCTCCTGTGACCAATTCATACCAAGTGGGTCGTGGGCTCGTTCTCCATTCTAGGCGAGAAAAAGGCACATATCGTGTAAAAGTTATAAATTACTTAATCACAACGTATTAAAAATATACAAGTTTTTTTTATTTTATTAATTACCTGCACGAATCCCAAACTACGATTCCAAGTCCCGGACATCCGCTTGGTTCGAGCACCTCGCACTCCCTTGGATTACAAACGCAGTCCCACCCCCGCACCGTCCCCACGATCACCACCACCGCCACCATCGCCAGCCACCTTCCACTTTTGGTCATAATGTCATTCACATATCACACTGCTCGATCGCACTGTTTCACATTGTCCTCGACACATACTTGAGCCACATTCCTTTTGTTGAGACTGTTCAGCTTTAACTCTGAAACAAAGGCAAATAATTACTTTAGAAATAACTTTCGAATATATTAATTAAATTGATGTTTTAAACGGCGCAGATTTGTTTCAAACAAAAGTCTCGGAAGTTTCGAGGATATGTTCAGAAATAATTGAAAGGCAACAGAGATTTCATTAGATAAGTTAGCTTTTTCGCACCGCGTATTTTAATTTTTCATATATACCTAGTCAGGTCATAAATTCTGTCACATGTTTAATGTAAAATAATTGAAACAAGTTTATTCATTATGTAACCATTCATATACCAAAATGAACTTAACAAAACATAGATTCTTATGACACTAAAGTTTATTCAAAATGACCTCCGTGATTTTGAATACAGGCCTTCAATCTGCGCGGCCAGTCGTCTATCGCAGCACGAACGAGGTCCATGTCAATATCGGCGGCTGCCTTAATCAAGGATGTCTTGAGTGACTCCAAATTGGGATGAGGCTTTGAGCACGCCTTTTCCTCCAAGTGTTGCCATATCTTGTAATCTAACGGATTCAAATCTGGACTGGAGGAGGGCCAGTCTTCGTGCCGGATGAAGTCGATTTCACGCGCCGCCAGCCAGTCTTGTGTGCTCTTCGCTCTATGAGCTGGCGCCGAATCTTGTTGGAATACCCAGTGCCTGTTATTGAACATGGTATGAGAAACAGGTTCCACAAGGTTCGTCAGGACTGTATTTTGATACACAACTGCATTCGTTTTACACCTTTCTCACAAAAATGTACCTCTGTTAAGCCCCATTAAGAAACTCCCAACCATACCATGAGCGAGGATGGAAAATGACCTCGTTGGACACGCGGAATACGGTTGCTCGCTTCTTCACTACTGTGTGCGTACACCTTATCATTTTGTTTGTTGTAGCCCTCTTCTACGGTAAAAATTTTTTCATCCGAAAAAAGAATTTCCCGATATATTTTTTTCACGCGTACCGCTTCAACAAAGCGCGGCATCTCTTCAGTCTTAGGTCCATTAGACGAGCATTCAAACGATGTCCTGTTTTTCTTCGATATGCCCGAAGCCATAAGTCTTCATTTAACACCCTTTTCACCGTGGTTCTGCTTAACCCCATCTGAAGGGCCAACAGTTTCTGCTTACGTTTGGAATTTCTTTGAATTTGCCCCTTCACAGCTTTTATCACTGCTGGAGTCCTAACAGACCGAGGGCGACCACTTCTTGACCTGTCATCTACACTAGAGTCTTCATTGTATCGTTTGATGGGACGATAAACGAATCTTTTGGTTATATTCAAATTTTTCAGTATGTTTAAAATTTGAATTGGCGCGTAACCGCAACGATGCAACGCAATAACTGAAACACGGTCTTCTTTAAGCGTCCACTCCATATCTAAAAATGAGTAAAATTCTAAAAGTATAAATTTTTATTTTCATGAATAATTCGAAATTCGAATTCAATAAACTTTTTTGTGGTCAGCATTCTAAAAGAAAAGTTTTTACTGTGTGACAATACTTATGACCTGACTAGTTATAGAGAGTGAGAGAGGGAATATACTTTATTGCACGCCAAAACACAAATAACATTAAAAAAATAGTCAACAGGCACGTATATTTGTATAACATGCGGTCTTATCGCTTAAAGCGATTTCTTTCAGACATCCGAATTATTTACAGAAATTCTGAAAAGATAAAGATACAGCAGGTATGTTACGGTGTACTATTAACAATATGTTAGTAAAGAACATACGTACGTATAATAAATAGATATAATAGATTGACGAAAAAGTTTCTTCGCATTTTTTAAGAATATTCACAACATTTTTTAATATTGTTTATTTACATTTAACGAATGTATGTAAGTACAATTTTGTTCGATAACTTTTTGCCATCTTGTAGATAGGGACATGATCCCATTGCTATAGAAATTTTGGGGCTTCTGATCAAAATACCGCGACAATTGGTTTTGGCAGTCCTCTCGTGATGTTAACCTGACACTGCCTAAAGAATTCTGAAAAGACCGAAACAGGTGGAAATCTAAAGGTGCAAGGTCAGGACTATACGGCGAATGCATTAACACCTCCCAGCTCTCTTAATTTTTGCTCAGTGGCTAAAGATGTGTGAGGTCTAGCGTTATCATGATGAAAAACCACACCCCTTCTGTTGATTATTTCTGGCCGCTTTCCTCAACTTCTTGCTTTAATCTAATCAGTTGTTCGCAGTAGAGTTCAGAATCGATGGTCCTTCCTGGTGGTAACAGCTCATAATAAATAATGCCCTTCCAATCCCAACACACACACAGCATCACCTTGTTGCGAGTTAAGCCGGGCTTCGCCACAGTCTGTGAAGCCTGATCGACCTTTTTCGCACGTTCTTGTCGTACGTGATCCACTTTTCATCACCAGTTATCAGCTTCTTCAAAAATGGTTCGATTTCATTACGTCGTAATAAAGAATCACAAATGAGTACACGATTCATTAGGTTTCTTTCAGTGAGCTCGTGAGGTACCCAAATATTAAGCTTTTTTGTGTGCCCAGTTTTTTTTTAAATGCGCCAAAACTGTTTTGTGGTCGATTCCCAGTTGTCTTAACTACTGATATACCGATCTTGCTCCATTTTTTCAAAAATGGCATCCATTTTATCCGTAATAGGGCGAGAGCGACGTCAAAATTTCCGGATTGAAAACGCTTAAACCAAATTTGTGCTACTCTCACAGACACTGCACTAGGTCCATAAAAATCGCAAATTTTTTTCGCGGCTTGCGTTGCATTTTTACCTTTTTCGTAGTAAAATTTTAAAAATGTATCGAATTTCTTCATTAGATTCACTCATCCTGACAGTACGAAAAATAAATAAAAATCACACGTTTTCCTAATTTGAATTTGGAATTATCTTCTTTAAAATTTAAACTTTTAATTATCATTAAATCATTAAATTGGTATCCCAAAGCCAGCCAGATACAAACAGTGTAGCCAAAGAGATTTATTAAAAGTTCATACATACTATAATGCGAAAAGACTTTTTCCCCAACCTATTATATCAATTCATTATTATCTCTACACATTTTCTTTAACTTCACAAAATTTATGATATTTTGAAGACGTGGACAATATAATTTTCGAGTAACTCGAATAAGGTTACAAAAATTTTCTCGAAATATTAAATTTTAAATGAACTCGATAATGTCTAAGTGAAGTTCGTAACATCCGACATCGATAAATTGTCCGAACGATGTCTCCAAATTTCGGTTTTTATTACAGCAATTGTCTATTTATAATTTTATCATCTATTGATCAAGTTTGTATAATCAGTTGGTACTTTGATCTCAGTGCCTACAACAGTGCTGGCCATGTGTATAATACTACAGTATATGGTACCCAGTACAAAGATTTGGCGCGCCTTTTTTTTTACTGCTTAGGTGGGTGAACAAGCTCAAGGCCCACCTGGTGTTAGGTGGTTACCGAAGTCCATAGACATCTACAACATAAATGTCGCCACCCACCTTGAGATATGAGTTCTAAGGTTTCAGTTTTTACAGTACAACGACTGCCCCACCCTTCAAACCGAAACGCATTACTGCTTCACGGCAAAAATAGGCAGGGTGGTGGTGCCTATCCATGCGGACTTACAAGATGTCCTACCACCAGAAAAAGTAAAAAAGTAATATATGTAAGGTTATAAGATGTATTCTGAAACAGCATGGAAGTGTAAGTATTACCTTCTATTATCTTTTGATTATGAAGCACTAATGCATATTAGACTTTAAATTCTGTCTATAAAGGTCAACAATCGTATTCACCTGGAGGTGCCTTTCATCTCCAGTACATACTTAACATAAGGTTATTGTACTGGTATTCTCTGTTAATCTGGTAAAAGTGTCTTAGATTGAGGCTGTTGGGTCAGATACCAATACCTTCTGTTTAAGTGTGGGACAATAAAAAAAATCCTCGGGGCTATTTCTAGATTATACTTATTGTTGTGCAGGACTTACTCTAGTATTAATTCGATTAAATATTACACGACATATCAAAGATCCGTTACATTTTGGAAGTTACAAAATGTTCCACTAACAGTGATCACGTCACCAAATAATCTATAGAAAAAATGATTCAAAAGCATTTCATAAAAGAATTACCTTCAATTCGAATTGAAGAGTTGGGCTTATAAAATGTATTTATAAATTTAAATTTTCTAAGAGTTCAAATAGGGTTTCTACTGATCGGAATGTTAAGGAACGTGCCTATGCCTATGGCTATTTATTATTAAAGGAAACGGAAAAATGGTATTTAATGATTCGAAATCATCAATAAAGATCAAGACATATTCATATTACCCATTTATAGTTTCATGTTCGTAATCCGTATTCCATGAAATATTGTAAATAATCTTTCTTCCAATTAACTATTTAATACACATGTATGAATATGTAATAACAAATATCAATTTATACATTTAATATCATTCTATGTTTTAAAATCACATAAAATATTTCTTCAGGTATATCAAAGTTATAATAGTAATTAAAATACAGTAGCGTCAAACCGATTTGGGTAAAGCTAAACGAGGTCAGAGAAAGTTGGTTTTGCTCGGTAAGGGTTGATGTGTCTTCAATAGATTTATGAATAGATATTGAGGTTTCGAGGCCGCACTAGGAAACTTAACAAGACGTAGGGTTTTTATTACAAAGGTGAGGATAGGTTAGCCCTTCATCTCGTACTAAACCTAATTTACGAGTTTATCTCCTTATTAGACCTAAATTTTACTGTTTTATTTAATATTATCCCTTCTTTACGAGTAGATATAGGAAATCTAGGTCTTACTTAGAATTAGGACTGGATAGGATAGGAAATAAAAAGAGTTTTTATTTTCGGTTTCTTGGTTTATTGTTTGGATTAGATTTAGGGAACTTAGATTTTCATTTTATCTCTGCAGAAGTGACTTTAATGATGACATCTCAGTACTCTCTGTTCTTTATAACTTGGAATTCAATTACTGTTTATAAATGAAAATTTTAATTATATATTAT